ACTCAGCACTACAGCCCACAACAATACACTCACCCACCCACTTACCACACTACAGGCCACAACAACACTCTCACCCACTCACCACACTACAGGCCACAACAACACACTCACCCACTCACTCACCACACTCCAGGTTACAACAACCCACTCACTCACTCACCACACGACAGGCTACAACAACACCCTCACCCACTCACTCACCACACTACAGGCCACAACAATATACTCACCCACCCACTCACCACACTACAGGCCACAACAACACACTCACCCACCCACTCACCGCAATTTAGGTTACAACAACACACTCACCCACTCATTCACCACACTACAGACCACAACAATACACTCACCCACTCACTCACCACAGGCCACAACAACACACTCACCCACTCACTCACCACACTCCAGGTCACAACAATACACTCACCCACTCACTCACCACACTACAGACCACAACAACACACTCACCCACTCACTCACCACACTACAGACCACAACAACACACTCACCCACTCACCACACTACGGGCCACAATAACACACTCACCCACTCACTCACCACACTACAGACCACAACATCACACTCACTCACTCACCACACTACAGACCACAACAACACATTCACCCACTCACTCACCACACTCCAGGTCACAACAACACACTCACCCACTCACTCACCACACTACAGACCACAACAACACACTCACCCACTCACTCACCACAGGCCACAACAACACACTCACCCACTCACTCACCACACTACAGGCCACAACAACACACTCACCCACTCACTCACCACACTACAGGTCACAACAACACACTCAACCACTCACCACACTACAGGCCACAACAACACACTCACCCACTCACTCACCACACTGCAGGCCAAAACAACACACTCACCCACTCACTCACCACACTACAGGCCACAACAACACACTCACCCACTCACTCACCACACGAAAGACCAAAACACACTCACCCACTCACTCACCACACTACAGGCCACAACAACAACACTCACCCACTCACTCACACATACAGGCCACAACAACACACTCACCCACTCACCCACTCACCACACTACAGGCCACAACAACACACTCACCCACTCACCACACTACAGGTCGCAACAACACACTCACCCACTCACTCACCACACTACAGGTCACAACAATACACTCACCCACTCACCACACTACAGACCACAACAACACACTCACCACTCACTCACCACACTACAGGTCACAACAACACACTCATCCACTCACCACACTACAGGCCACAACAACACACTCACCCACTCACTCACCACACTCCAGGTTACAACAACACACTCACCCACTCACTCACCACACTCCAGGTCACAACAATACACTCACCCACTCATTCACCACACTACAGACCACAACAACACACTCACCCACTCACTCACCACACTACAGACCACAACAACACACGCACCCACTCACCACACTACAGACCACAACAACACACTCACCCACTCACTCACCACACTACAGACCTCAACAACACACTCACCCACTCGCTCACCACACTCCACATCACAACAACACACTCACCCACTCACTCACCACACTACAGACCACAACAACACACTCACCCACTCACTCACCACAGGCCACAACAACACACTCACCCACTCACTCACCACACTACAGGCCACAACAACACACTCACCCACTCACTCACCACACTACAGGTCACAACAACACACTCACTCACCACACTACAGGCCACAACAACACACTCACCCACTCACTCACCACACTACAGGTCACAACAACACACTCACTCACCACACTACAGGCCACAACAACACACTCACCCACTCACTCACCACACTACACGCCACAACAACACACTCACCCACTCACTCACCACACTACAGGTCACAACAATACACTCACTCACCACACTAAAGGCCACAACAACACACTCACCCACCCACTCACCACACTACAGCCCACAACCACACACTCACCCACTCACCACTCTACAGGTCACAACAATACACTCACCCACTCACTCACCACACTACAGACCACAACAATACACTCACCCACTCACCACACTACAGACCACAACAACACACTCACCCACTCACTCACCACAGG